TAAAGGAGATATCGCCGCTTGAAGTATCCATTTTAGTGAAAAAACGACCTGTCTCGAGCCCTTCGATCCTTTCCCTTTAAAAAACGAAGGACTTAAAAGGTTTTATATGCAAACGATCTTACAGCTCTTGAAATTATCTTTAAAATGCTTTTTTGTAGGATACTATAGCTTCAAAATTAACCGAGTTATGGTAAAAAAACCAATGACATTTTTTCGGAGCAAAATAGGATTTCTCATTTTTATATGTTATATTATATATTATACAAATAAAATAAGTAAAAAAATTTAGTGTGATTATTTATATGCAGCGTAGCAATTTTTTTATGATTGATTATATTTAAAAATCGATTATAATAAAAATATTTTACATTAATATTGGTAAAAGGGTAGTTTATAAGAGTTGAAAATGGCAAAAGTAAAATATTCTTTCATAAACAATATAAGGGAATTTTTATTTTAAATTATTGCACAATTATAGCATTCCAAGATTTAAAACGTAATTTTTTATCATTTTTTTAGCACAGGGGTGATTTATAAGGGTTGAAAAGTGTTATGAGATACAAATTCTTTCATAAGCAATGAGGGAATTTTTATTTTAAATAATTGCACCGTTAAAGCATTCCAAGCTTTTAAAAAGTAATTTTTTATCATTTTTGTCAATACAGGGGTGGTTTTTAGGGGTTGAAAGGGAAAAATTCTTTTATTAGCTATAAGGTAACTTTTATTTTAAATAATTGCACGATTTAATCATTCCAAATCTATAAAAAGTAATTTTTTATCATTATTTTTTGCATAGGGGTAGTTTTTAAAGGTTAAATAAAAGGTCGAAAAGGTAGATCAAATATATCATAAAACATGTTCGAGAACATGGAACATTATTTAATCTTTGTGCTTGAACAAGATTTTTATCAATAAAATGCTTAAAACTTAATTTTTTCAATTTTTTTCACTTAGGGGTAGATTGTACCCCTAAAAAACAAAAAGCGTCGATCGAATTTATGTCACTTTTGAACTTGAGTCTAAGATGAGCCTTATTCTAAATTTTCATGCAAATCCATGCAATTTCAAAGAATTCGGAGGTTACAGCTGATTTTCAGCTTCAATGACTGTACTAAAAGGAATTTAAAGCTTATGAAACAAGCTAATTGACCACTGCATTGATTGAGTTCGATAAAATTTTAAAAGTTCGTGGATAGTACCAAAAAAATTTTTGAATTGTCTGGAGGTATTTCTTTTAATTCCTTGTTAGTCATAGCCCAAAAAATTTTTTGTCAAAAGATATTGAAATTAGAGAGTTCAAGCTTCAAAACTGTTTTTTTATCTCGACACGACCATTTTTTGCTAGATACCTTTCAAAAATTACTAAAAAGTTTACGAAATATTTTTGTTCTCAATTTTTTCCAGTAGTGTAGTTTTAACAAACATTATTTATTTGTTTTTTTCAGTATACCTAATTTATCTGCACAAAGTTGCTATGAAATATATTTATAGATTTCAAGTATATAATTGAGTATATATACAGGGAGATTAAGGTTTTAAGGCACAAACTGAAATGGGTGATAGATCTTATCATTTTAAGCAAAAAAGTTTATATAAACATGAGTCCAATCTCGATCAGTAGGGGAGCTACAGGGGGTCAAAGTTTATTTATTTTTTTCTATTAATTAAAATATCTCGCTCACTTTTCAAAATATCAATTTAAAATTTGGTGTGGTTAATACTTCCTATAAGGACATCATTTCAAGCATTTTAAAGATTTTTAAAATCTACAGGGTGATACGTTTTTGGGGGTTGAGGCTTCTTTATCCCCCCCAAACTTTTTCGTAGTACGCCTCTGACATCTTCCAGTTAGCAAATTGGGTGGCTAGTTCAATTTAGAGGGTTTTTTTGCTTTTCAATTTTGTTCGAGAAAACAACCGTTTTCGAGATAAATAAGCATATCCGTTCTAAAACATGTTAATTTTGCCTGTTTCGCTTAAATTTTATTCTTGGACAAAATTCGTTAAAAATGCAATAAATTGTACTAAAATTGCAATGTTTTTAAACATGAGTCGAATTTGGATCAGTAGCGGGGATACAGAAGGTAGAAGGTCAAGGTTGCTTTTAACTGACCAATCCAGCGACGCAGAAAATTCGTGTTAAGCCACTGGTTAACTATTCTTCCGTAATAAGCTAAAGCCCCATCCAGTTGTATCCATATTTCTTGTCTAATATCTTATCTAATATCATTTAAATAATCAAATAATAATTGCAGAATGTGATTATTTCTTTTGCGTATTCCATTATTGTTAATTCTGTCAAAGTAGGCTTTGATAAAACAAAAAAGCTTTTGACATTTTACAGTGACATAAGTAAACAAATTTAAGGTTTCAACAATTTAACCAGTTTTTCTTTTTAATATTCGCTGTAATTTGTAATTTAGCTAACATGCCCAACTTATTTACCAATCAAGAGTATGCTGATATCCATTTTGTATATGGATATTGCAACGGGAATGCGCGTCATGCAGTCCGTGAATATCGAAGAAGATATCCACACAGAAGAATACCAAGTGTAAGAGTATTTACAAACACACATAGAAATATTGTTGAGTTTGGAATACGTGGAAGGCACGAGCAAGATAGAATTAACAATAATGGAATACGCAGAAGAAATAATCATATTTTGCATTTATTTGATGTAAATCGAAACCTAAGTACACGAAGAGCCGCGATACAACTAGAGGTTTCTCAGTCAACTGTGTGGCGTACTTTGTACGCCGACTTAAGAAAACCATTCCATTTCCAACCAGTGCAGGGTTTACTACCAGAGGACCCACCAAGATGATTGGCATTTTGCCACTGGCTATTAGAAGTGGTAGGTACAAAATGACGAACAGTTTTTAAAACATATATTGTGGACTGATGAAGCCATATGTACCAGAAGAGGTGTGGTAAATTACCATAACTTACATGTTTGGGCTCACGAAAATCCACACGCTAATCGTGCGCATGATTTTCAACATGAATTTCATGTAAATATCTGGAGTGGCTTAATTAATAATGTCGTTTGTGGACCTCACATTCTGCCCAATCGGTTAAATTCCTTATTATTTTTTAATTTTTGATCATTTTAATGTGTTACTGGAAGAAGTACCACTTAACATTAGGCAAGAAATGTGTATACAACTGGATGGGGCTCCCGCTCACTATGGAAGAGTAGTTAGAGAGTGGCTGAACACTAATTTTCCGCGTCGTTGGATTGGTCGATTAGGTCATATTGCTTGGCCTCCCAGGTCGCCCGACTTGAATCCCTTGGATTTTTATTTTTGGGGTACTATAAAAGATAAAGTCTACGCGACACCAGTCCAAACAAGGGAGGAACTTATCATTCGCATCCAACAAGCCTGCATTGAAATGAGGAATGATCGCAACCAAATATTTAGAGCAACATCAGCATTAGTTCGGCGATGTAGGAAGTGTGTAGAGGTTGAAGGATCTCATTTTGAACACTTACTCTAAGCTTTATTAGTAATTATCTTCAGGTCTGTATTATTACTTGTCATTTATTGTTTACATATTTAGATTTAATTATTTGCGTTAGTAATATTCTTTTATTATGTCTGTAACTTAAAGTTTTTTTAATGTTTAGGGTGGATTTAAAATCATAAAGTAAATTTAAAAAACACATGTTATTTGTTTTAAGAGCTTACTTAACTTTAGGATGATACGATTTTAAAAATTTTCGAAATGGTAAAATGTATGTATGAACCATTTAACCAACTTTAAAACCTTAAAACAACTTGATCCTCTACCTTCTGTATCGATCCCCGCTACTGATCCAAATTCGACTCATGTTTAAAAACATTGCAATTTTAGTACAATTTATTGCATTTTTAACGAATTTTGTCCAAGAATAAAATTTAAGCGAAACAGGCAAAATTAACATGTTTTAGAACGGATATGCTTATTTATCTCGAAAACGGTTGTTTTCTCGAACAAAATTGAAAAGCAAAAAAACCCTCTAAATTGAACTAGCCACCCAATTTGCTAACTGGAAGATGTCAGAGGCGTACTACGAAAAAGTTTGGGGGGGATAAAGAAGCCTCAACCCCCAAAAACGTATCACCCTGTAGATTTTAAAAATCTTTAAAATGCTTGAAATGATGTCCTTATAGGAAGTATTAACCACACCAAATTTTAAATTGATATTTTGAAAAGTGAGCGAGATATTTTAATTAATAGAAAAAAATAAATAAACTTTGACCCCCTGTAGCTCCGCTACTGATCGAGATCGGACTCATGTTTATATTAACTTTTTTGCTTAAAATGATAAGATCTATCACCCATTTCAGTTTGTGCCTTAAAACCTGAATCACCCTGTATAATTGAGTTTTAATAATAATAATTTAATTAATTTAAATAATAATATTTAATTTAATGAAGTTGATGATGGTCCTAGATAGACAAAACGTTACATATAAAAACTGATTATGCCATTCGATAGAGGGTAAAAAGTTGCCTTGAGAAAGTGATTTTCTTTTTTGAATATCATCTCAAACATGGCTCAAATGAAACAAAAACGAATTTCCAAAATTTCGTTTTTTTTTCAAATATTTCGAAAAATAATCATGTTAGCCTTGATTTTTTAGAGGCATAAAGTTGGTCCCTTGATTATGCAACTTTGCCCCCATTTAAGGTAGTTCATATCTGTTACTGTTTCCGAGATCTCTGTAGTGAGAAGCGAATTTGTAACAGCCCATGTACAACATTTTTATTATCATTTTTACCCCCTTGGTGTAGTAACTACGCGACTAAAAACACACGATAAAATTTAAGTACTGCTGACGTCCCAGAGGAAATTCTTCTGAAGCCATTATTATTACAAAAGACCCCTAAAGAACAGCAGTGACAAATCTACGAGACATATCTCTCTTTATTCTCACTCCGCGGGACAAATTGTATCGCGGCTGATATGAGCACTCAACCGTAACTCACCGTCATTTCTTTCCTTTGTTTCAGATTCGCGGCAGGATGCTCGATCGCTCCTCGCGATCCATGAAACTTTCCAAGTTGTACCCGGGCACGAGGTATTTAATATGCGTGCTGGCCCTAGGGAACTGGGCGTCGCACCGCAAGGAGACCGCCGAATCTCGTCTGGCGATCCGCAAACCCGAAAACGACACGACGCGCGACAATCTCGAGATATTCAACGATGCCATGCTGCCGCTCCTGGTGGACTCGCCGACCAGCAAGTGCGCCGAGGTTAGCACACTAGGCGCCCCCGACAGCATCCACGGGGGTTTGGGGATCCTCCCCGACCATTCCCTGGGGGTGCAGTCCATCCTCACGAGACGACTGGGACTCATCATCGGCTGCTGCATGGGATTCGTGGTGTTTATAGTTTTAGTTTCGGTATTAGGGTACCTCAAAGTCAAGAAACAGAGACGAGCCATCAAAAGGGACCAGCCCATACCGCCCGAATATCTTTCGTATCGGCACTTTTCCATACAGAGCGGCGAGGCGGGGGCGCACGCGGGCCACCCCCACTTCATTTCCAACATGAACACCACCATTTTAAGTTAAGTGCGGAATAGGAACTGCTCCCAATAAGAGGACTACCGCTGCTAATTAATTCTGTCACGTAACCTCCAAAACTACCGCTGGCGCTGTAGTCTACACTTTTTTCAAGTGTTTTTCAGAAATGATAAATTATATTTCAGAAAGCTGAACTGAAAAGTTCAATAAGTTTAATTTTATTTCATATTTAGTCAACTGTATTTCGGGATAGTCAGTTTTAATTTAGAAAACAAATTGTGTTTCATAAGGAGTAAATTGTTTTTCAGAAAACATTATTTGTATTTCAGAAAATATCAAATATATTTTAGAATTGTTCGTTTCAATTTTTACAACAGTACTGGTAAATTATATTTTATTTTAAATAAAACAATCAATTGAGGGTTATCTCGAATCTCAGTTGTAGTCATTCCAAAACTACAACTATGTAATCATAAAAATTAAGGGAGCAGAGTTTCCAAATTTTTTTAGTGATTTTGTAAGTTCTGTAACTCCTTGAATAATGGTCGTATCGAGAAAAAAAACATCTTGAGGCTTGAAGATTCTAGTTTTGAAATCTTGAGATGAAAAATTATTTTGAGCATTACTTAGGTATCAAAATTTGAAATTTTTTGTTTTTCCGATATTTGATGAATATTTAACGCAAAACTGCGAGAAAAATTAAGCAAAAAAAAATTTTCATCTTAATCATCATCATGTTTGAGCAACAATAAATCTGCTCCTTTAATTTTTTATAAAACTTTGACGATTCAGCAAAGAAAAACGGTTCTACCGATCGATTTGAAAATTACAGGCCTCATGGGCATGAGCTAAAAAAAACCTGCGAACACACTTTTCGCAATATTTTCAAAGTAGTCGTTGATTTTCCAAAACAACAGAAAAAGTCACTTTTTCCAATTAATTGCTGAGTATATATTTTTTTCTCAAACATACTAACAAGCTCTTGAAGAGGATTGATTCAAGTTTTCAAAACCCACCTTCCTTTCGCTGTACGATAATTCATTTTAAGATATTGATCATAAAAAAGATGACTTTTAACCGATAGCTCAATGAGAAAAAATCGTACAGAAAATAAAAAAAAATTGGAAAATTGTTGCCTTGCATTATTTCTTTTGATTGCGCTGATAGTGATGCTCAAAAAAATTTGAGCTTCACTCAAGATTTCAGAATTTTTTTTTGCTAAATTTATACTTTAATTTTTGTTTCCCTTTGAGACTAAGAAATAAATGACATACCTAAATAAAATTTAAAAATTTTTCTAATTAAAACAGACCATTCCGAAATTCAATTAATACTTTTTGCAAAACCTATAATGAATATGAAAAACAACTGCCTTTTTCTGAAATACTCTATTGTAACGATTCAGAGAAATATTTCATTAGTTTTATCTTAAATTAACTTTTATAGAAACTTCCTCAGTACCTCCCTATTTTCTTCCTTATTCATTGAGGTATGAATGAAGAAAATCTAATAAAAATTATAGGAAACTTTTAACTTTTTAATATGTTTGTTGCAGAAATAACTAAATGTTTTCTTTAAATGGAACATCCATAACGCTTTTTTCCGATTTCAGTGATATAGGGTTTAGTGTGTCTATCTCTAATAGTAAGGGAAATATGCTATAAGAGCAATGCGTTAAAATCTGTTTTACATTAACCAATTTTTAACCCAGGAAATTGATAAAAAATTTGTCACGTACATAATTAAAAAAAAATCAAATTCAATACACTGCCATGCGTCAAGAAATTGTTCACCTAGCGGGATTCGAAATAGCGGTATTCATTTCAATACGTCACTACAATAGTTCTCAACTGACTGAAACAAATGCGGGCGCGTTCTACTCACAACACCTTGGCCTTGAATGCAGTGTTGCCAACTTTGTCGAAAACAAAAACCACAAAGGATCAGAGTCTCAGTCTTACTTTGTGGATATGCTTTGTACATACATACTTCATACATGCACTTTATTACAAATAATAGTTAAATAAATTTAATAACGTTGCCTATTTTACACATGGCCTTAAAAGTGCGGTTATTAATAAACAATATAATAGTTGTGTGTTGTGAATACTACTTGAAATCCTTAGTAAACATGACTTTTAGTGTAAACATTTACCTAGAATTTGTAAATAATTCAGTAAACAGGGTCATTAATGTGGGCATGATATATTCATAACTCATTTTGACTTTTATTTTCTCATTAACTTAAGTTTGAAACATTTCAGTTGAACATTTTTAAACGGCACCATGCTTTTTAAAAATGTACTGTTTGCAAAAATCCCACACTGTAAAAAAATTCACTCAATTTCACTCAATTTTACTCAATAATGCATCTATTTAAATTTATATTAATTTCGAGTAATTTGAATGGCGTCATGAAGATGGCACCACTTACATATTGCTTCTGTAATCTCGACCACAGTTGATAGGGGCCCGTTAGATGCTCCAGAAAAGCGTGATCGCCAGGAGAACAGGCCTTAGCCGGCGGCGGCGGGTGTCAGCTGGAGAGGCTCAGCTGGCGGGTCTCAGCCAGGAGAGGAGAAGGCCCTGCGAAGTGAATTAATTTCAACACTCTATATCCTAATATTCCTAATTAATCATTTATGATTTATTTTTGCACTCAATATTTAGTTAATTAAAAAAAGTCTTAGTAAAAAATGACTCAATAGTTACATTTAAATCATAGTAGAGAAAAATTCAACTCTAAATTGGTTTTATATACTCAGAATAGAGTCAAAAATCGCTCAATTGATAGTTAGCAGTAACTCGGTTTTGAGTGAAACTCACTCATTTCTGATGCAATAATTTCACTCAGTTGTACTCATACTAATAGAGTGTGGAATTGATACATTATTGAGTAAAATTGAGTGAAATTTGAGTGAATTTTTTTACAGTGTCTTTCTGAGATATAATCGATAGAAAAATATGTAATTTTGCACATTATAGACTATTTTTTGTTACTTACCACCATTCATATAATACAGGTATAAACAAAAACATAAAAAGATCTATTTTTAAATCTACTTAAAAAATTCTTGGGTTGTGACAAAATTTGTTGGTGCGCAACACGATGTTTTTGGCAGTTTATTAACCATAAAATTTCTACCTGGACTATACCTTTTACCCAAAATACTAAAAAATAGTTAATTAGGTAATTCAATATTCCATATAAAGGACCTACATATTCCACATTTGCACATTTGGCTGTTTTACTGTAGCAACTTTGACAGACAGTCAGGAATTAATCTTCGACTTGAATCGTAATTTTGTTCAACATCTGTGAGTCTGAATTAAACTGTTTTTATTCTCCTTTGCACTCCAGTCACCTCTTAAATGTGGATTAAGTTTTTCACTCGCGACCTGTAATGCGCGTTTTCACACTTTACAGCAGCACTACATGTTCGTTGCCGTTAAAATCTAGTTCAGAAGAATCATTCACTCACATAGCATGCAAAGGAAATGTTTTAACTAAATTATACGTATTACACTTTAAAGTCACGTTCAAAGTATTAGGTTTGGGTAACAGTGTTACTATTAATTGTGTATGGAAGCCTCGTCATATCGTACTGGCGTATCATTTTTATATGTCTAAATAATACGCAATAACGGTCCATGTGAACTGGATTTTTCGCCTAAACTGATGTTGAAGTTGAATGGTTAGTAGTATGAATATCCACAACAAATATGGAGGTAGTAATATAAAGAGACATTGTTCCCACAGCGGCCAACGTCAAACTAGATATGAATGGGGAATAACAATAGAAGATAAAAAAGTACATATGTATATGCCTTGCAATAATGAATCTGGCTGATTATCCTATCAGTATGCGTGTGATATATAAATGCGATTTAACGCAATCATAAATAGGGGTGTGAACTCATGACACAATATACATATTGTAATTGATTTTTTTGTTTTCGATTAAAATTAAATTGATGCTTTTTCTCTCTTTTATTGTTATGTTAGAAACCGTGCGGGTTATGTATATAAGCGTAGGAAATATTCAAATCAGAATCACTTTATGGTAGTACAGGGTGATTCACTATATTTTGACCCCCCCCCCCCATTTACTTATTTGTTCTAAGAGTTATGAAAAAATGTGAAATACTAAAGTTGCACGACTTTTTATGAATTCGAAGATGATAATAGAAAAACAAATGAAGTCCAAACAAAACGGCCGCGGATGTTAACTTTGTTAATTTAAATGGAACACCCTGTATATTTTTATATATTTGGATAGAACGTTCTCTATCGAGTATAGTCATATAGGGTTTATTGGGTCCATCTCTAACAATAAGCGAGATAATATTAAAAAACGAAAAGAAGGTATTTCATTAAGAAAATGAGATATCTTTTTCAGGCATTTATGCGTTTTTTCCAATTACGTAAGGATTTACAGGTTTTGTTATAATATATTTTGACATATCGGACATTGACATGGTTCAAAATGCGTATAGGTATTGTAACTAAATCTCACTAGTTAGGCCGTGAGAGGCCTAATTACTCATGGACAATGCTATGTGGTAGGACGTGACAGATGACAACATTATTACTGTTTGACATTTCGTATTATTATTTCATAAAAGTGGGTAACACAGAATTAAAAAATTGAGATATTATAGGAATTAAAATAGGGTATGGAGGAGAACAATAATAATTTATAATATTAAAATCACGACAATTTTACAGCTAACAACTATATAATACTTAAATTACAAATATTGCTCGAAATGGCCTCCATTATTTAAAACACAAAGCTCATATCTTCTTATTAAATTATTTAAACAGTTCAAAATAGCCTTATTATTATTATCATCGTTTAACTCATAAATAGTTTCTCTAATTGTATTTCTAATCATTTGGACGCTGTTATTAAAATTATTATTAACTTTGTCCTTTAAAAATGCTGACAAAAATGTATCTAGGGGTGTTAAATCGGGACTATTTGGTGGCCATGGAATGGGTCCATTTTTACCGATCCAAATGTCAAATTGGTCATTTAAATGCT